GAGATGCCAGATCAGTACTGATTAGATTACAAATCCTTCTTTGGATTTTGTCAAAAGTCTCAAGATATATAGCAAGAGCACCAGGCTAAATATGGCAGCAATATTCAGATTAATGTTAGATTTATAAATGTGTAAGATGGATTCTGGCCAGAAAACTTGTCTGGCATGTGAACCAACATTCCTAGCGGCAATTCTAGCAATTTATTCAATATAATCACTCCACTTCATGTCAGTTTCTCTTCTGGAGGTTAGCACCAGTCATGCTGATGGAAGGCAAGAAAGGTTCTTCTTGGGAATACCAGGTGCTGTAAGTTTGGATATGTGAGTGGTGCAATGGATAATTACTCAGTTGTGAATCGGATCTCAAAAAAAGTTCTTTCAATCAAAAAATATATTCTGGATTTAAATAACCTAAAAAAAAGGGGTGATAAATTGTAGAAAATGAATCCCTCAAATCAGTCAAGTAAACATGTTTCTCTGTGATGATTAAAAGATAGTTTCACTTTGCAGAAGTTAAAATTTACAAACCATTCCTTGCTCCAGTTAACAACTGATTGGAGGTCATTTTCAAGAGCAGCTGCCAGTTATATTTTGTCAGACCTATTGTACTGTGTATTAAGACAAGTAAATAAGTTGTCTACATAGCTAGTTGGAAACTGATAACATTGGGAAGGTTGATGATGAAAACAAGAAACAACATAGTTCAAGGACAGTCCTGCCACCCCCTCCCCCATTAATGTGCCATGATCTTTCATTATGATTAGATTAATCCAAATATTCTTCCAGATACACCATAGCCCTTGAGCTTGCCCCTGTTAAATATGTTCAAGATATCTAAAGTCATAGCCTGAGACTTGTGTTTCTTATCTAAAATCTGATAGATAAATCCAGTAATAACCATTAAGACATTGGCGGTATACCTACAGAAATGAAAGTCATTGTTTATCTGAAAGAAGGCTGTGTGAAATGAGTTGCTTAACCAGTTGTAAGTTGATTATAGCCTCCAATACGTTGACAAAAAGCAATAAAAGAATAATAGGGAAATAATTTGAAGGATCAAAGTTCTTAAAGACAAGGACTACAAGAGAAGAATTTCCAACAAAGTGGAAAGCAATAAGCAGTAAGGCATTTATTTAAGAGTTTGGAAAGAGCAGGAGCACATTTCTTTAGGGCAATTGCAAGGATACCATCAAGTCTGCAAGTCGTGTGAGGATCTAGTTTGGAGATGATAAAAGAAACTATGGACAGTTATTTGCATATTTCTCATTTCAAATTCTATTCTAGAGAGAAATCAGGCAAAGTTATTCCTTAAGAATTGAGAGTGGAGCTGGAATTTAGTTTTCCAAACAAAGCATCCTGCTCTATCAGCAGTGAATGACAATACTTCAAATTGATTGAAGAGAGGAGAGATTGAGGATTTACTATTATTTAATAGATTCTTATAGAGCCACCAGTAATCCCTACAACCAAACTTAAATATTTTATTAATGAAAGACCACCCAAAATATGCTACACTTAAATGACTTGTCTATAAAAGCAATGATAAATAAAAAGTATTTTGAAGGATGTTACATTATAGTGCAATGTGTGTGATAATTCTAAATCTTATAAAACTGCTGAAATAAACTGATAATTAGTTTATGAAATATAGCTGAAAGAAAAGGAATGACAAACATACTTTGTTCTCTAACAGATTTTTATACTTCTACATCATACACAAAATTATATACAAATATTTACACTTGTCCCACACAGGGAAACTATAACACATGTATACAACAACTTGGAGTGTGAACATTGTGAAGAGATAAAAAAAATCTTATGTGTAATAAATTCCAACAAGATTCTTCTATGTTCTTGGAGACGCTATATTTTTCCAACAAATAAAACTGCATGCCCATGTGGTACAACCAGATTTATATTTCCTAAAATGAATTCAAGCAGGTCAGATTTATCTTCTCTGTCGAGGACTTATTTCACAATGGGGAAAACGGCACTCCAGGTTTGTGTGCTACCCCTGGGCAGGAAGATTTAGCCTTGGCTCATGCTCTTAAAAGCAAATGCCTGGTTTGACTCCAGGAGGCTAATTAAAGAACTTTCCACTTTGTCACTCTATGAACTGACATCACTAAGCAGCCCTTGCAAGACCTATGTGATTTCTTTTCAACCAAAGGGAGATAATCATCTTTTTTACACAGATTTATACCAAATGTAACAGCATAACTGTCCATCCCATAAAATGTTTAATATCTAAAGAGGAAAAAAAAAACACTAAACTAATTGAGTTTCTTTTTTCCAGGTTTTCAGATAAGACATTTAGCCATCTTGACACCATTTGTCGTAAGAATCACTGAAAAACCCTTTTGAGTTATTTAGTTAGAGAACAGGTTAAAATTATTTTCTGTCAGCCCTACTGTCTTCCCAAATGAACAATGGTGAGAGGAAAAAGATCATTCAGGCCTTCACTAATAGTACCAACATTCATATGTCCATCTTCAAAGTCCATTCATGGACCACCAAGAGACTGGTGAATAAGTTTAAAAAAGAGGCAACAGTAGAGAGGAAAACTGGATCAGGAGGCCACAACAGGAAGAGGGATCATCTTTTCAACTTAGAGCTAAAGAGATCAATTAGAAAAGATCCAACTCAATCCATAAGACATTTGGCATATGAGAGAGGAGTTTCACCTATGCCAGTCCAAAGAGCAATGCAAAAAATCTTGAAAATGAAATTGTATGTGAAACCTGTGAAGCACCTTGTTACTCCAGGACAGAAAGTTAGATGGTTAGAGAGAGCGAAGATCATCTTGGAAAGTTGGAAAATCATTCTGGAATAATATATATATATATATATATATATATATATATATATATATATATTTGAACTTAATTTCAATCCTTCACAAGCTTCCGATCCTTAGCTTGGATTAATTAATGAGGAACATGTCATTTTCGTTTATGATTAGTTTCATCACAATTCTTTTATTAAGCGTGGTGAGTAATTATACATTCTTATTGCTCAAAGTAGAGTCCAATAGTATTATAAAAACCTTGGAAAATTCCAGCAAGATATCTTTAACCATTTCTAAGATACAATGGTTCAAAGCTTAATCTAACGAATGGACAATTTTGCTGCTACACCTGGTATATATGGCTAACAATAAGTAAATTTTTATGTATCAAGAACAATTTTGAGGGGAATGATGTATGGCAAATTGGAAAAAAAGTTTTCATGTGATGCGTTTTGTCCTTTAGGATTTCATTGAACTAAATTTGTTTATGTTGGTACAACTACACATGAACAAGAGATGCTGGGGATCCTAAAATTTAAATTATTTTTCTTTTTGTTTTAATGTGTTTTGAAAAAATAATGGAAATAATTATGACTGATAAACTCATGGCTATTCTTGATATGAAATCCCTTTACACTAATGACTTGGTTAAAAAATGCTTAAATCTGTTAAAAAAGCATCTGACACAATAAAAAATAAACGTCTCCATAGCAATAGCTAAAATAATAAAAATCTCATTAATCCATGCTATTTCACATTTAATAATAATTTGGATTTGGATTACCAATGGGATTGCCTCTTACTGGAATGATGGCATGTATTTTGTTAGAATTTCTTGAATCTAGTACCTTCTAAAATATTTTACTTAATCAACATACTGATATATTGATGATGCTCTATTAATATATCCTTGTGATACTGATTTGCCTGACTTTGTAGATAAACTAAACAGTCATTCATACAATAGAATTTATCCACGAAATGGAATACTTCACCTTTCCTAGACATCATATTACACTGTGTTAACAGTAGCCTAAAACTTCCCACAAAATTCAACCAATAAAAACAATCTAATAAATTTCTATTCCCATCATAGCGACAAAATAAAATCTGGAATAATCATCTCATTCTACTTAAAAGCACTCAGAATTTGCAACCCTCAGAATTTACATGAAGAGGAGAAATACATTGAAAACACTTTCAAGCTTCTTCAATATCCTATCTATTTTATATTCAATAAAAAAACAGAAGTCTCATAAAATTCCAAAATAGAAAAACAGCCCCTCCTGACAAATCCAATGAATCAAAAACATATATTGTCCTACCCACTAACTCTATCACAACTACAATTGAAAAGAATTTATCTAAACTCAACATAAAATTTATGCAACTACATCTAAAACAATAAAAGACTAAGTCAATACAAAACAATAAGCTAAAACTTGAAGGAGAAATTTACTTGATGACCTGTAATAATTGTCACAAAAAATATATAGGAGAAACTTCAAGGAATTTAAATATTATGTGAGTATAAAAGAGGCATTTTACAGAACAACACATGAAATGCATTAGTTGCACATCATAATGAGACTGACACAATTTTAATATAAAAAAAATGTTTCCCAGAACTAAAATGAAATTGTTTGGAGAGTGCCTTGATCACTAGATCATACACAGTAAATTTGCTCCCGGTTCTCTTACATCATTTCACCATTCCTGATAGATCTTCTATTATCACAGTGTGGGAGAATGTCTAATAACAAAAGTGATGAAAAGAAAAAGAATCTAAATGAAATCAGCCAGGTTATATACCCAAAACACATAATGAAAAATAATTCAGAATTCCCAGCATCTCTTGTTTGTGTTCATGTGTAGTCACCAATAAATTTAGTCCAGTAACCCTAAAGGACAAAACTTGTCACATTAAATTTTTTTCTCCATTTTGTCATACATCTTTTCCTCACATATATTCCTTGGGACTAAATCTAATTGGAATTACTTTTAGAAATTTTTCACATGTCTATTTTGAAGAGTTGGTACAAGAAATTGTTTAAAATAGTGTCAAAATAGCAAACAACATATTTGAATGGCACTGATTCCCGTATCTCACCCTCTTCCCCAACTTAATAATAATAAAATATTTTGGTTTTTATGATTGTGCACTGTTATATTAATTATTAATGTTTATTATATTGTTTCTTTTTTCTAGGAATACCCTATGATGTCTTTATTAATTCGGACAGATTGTCTACAAGTCCGACGTCTTACATTGTCACTTGGCAAGAACCTCGGACAGGAGGTTCTGAGATTACATCTTACTCTGTTCAATACAGGATGGTGAGTTATGATGCTTGATTCTTTTTGCAATGATTCTGTATTATCATTAAACATTATCTGATGAATTGCAAGACTCTTTCCAGAAGAAATGTGTCTTTAGCAACTCTTTCTACTTTACTGCATTTTAATGAAGTCTCCTTAATAGATTTGTAAAAAAAAATTAACAGATTGTATATTTGTATATGGTTGCATTAGTTTAATACGACAACCATTCTCAAGAATTTCACTTTGATTTTAATACTCAATATTCATTTTAATATTGAAGAATTCGAAAAATCTGCAAAAATGCAAATGTTAGAATTATTTTGCAAACCATTGATAAGATCTCTGGTGTGTTTTTTTTTTTTTGTTTTTTTGTTTGTTTAATGGCAAGAGTTGATTGCAGAGCCTCTAGTATTTTAAAGTGCTTTTGACATTATCTGTGATGGAAGCATATTTAAGATTTCAATTCATCACATTTGATTCATTTTCAGTAGGAATTGAACATTTTTAAGTGATTTCAATTTTGTAAGCAAGTATTCAAAGGAAAATCATTTGTGGAAGTTTCTAAATATTCACATTAAGAAAGTTTATTTTTCTTATTACCATCTGCTTTCAGTTAGAATTCTTTCCTATATGAAGTTCAGTTTTGTGAGTTGTAAAACCATTTACATTTTCTTTTTTACTTGTAATGAGTTTTTTCTCCAAATCCTGGGGGGGCAAGATAATCAAGTGCAAAACTGTTTAATTTTTCTCTAATTTCTAGTCTCTTTTTTTCTCAACCTTCAATTTTTGTTTTCTTCTCTTTTTTTTTGTCTAACTCCTTTTCTAATGTCTTCTTTATTTAGGTCCACATAAAAAAAAATGTTGAACCTTGGGAAGTTGATCCTAATGCTAAAAATGGCAAGTTTATTGCACACACTGTTAAAGGCAAGACAAGAAGTGTGTTGAATAATTTGGAATCCAACACATATTATGAAGTCCAAGTTGTGGCAAATAATATAATCGGCCCTTCTGAACCACGACCAATGATTATTTTAACAAAAGAAAGTAAGTGATTTTTTTTTTATATTCCCCACACCTTTTATTTCTTATATGACTGAGTCTTGATGTTTCTAAGCTTGTATTATTCTTTATATTGTTGTTGTTGTTGTTATTTATCTTTTAATTATTCTTATCCACCTCTTCCCCCCATCCCTGACTCTAAATTTTTAATTTTTTTTATTTAGTTTCAGTTTTGTTTTTGTTTTAAATTAATGTGTGTGTACGTATGTATGTATGTGCGTGTGTGATTGATTGTATGTTTGTCTTGTTTTAATGCAACTTTGGTTTCTTGTTTGTTTTTGTTTTTTTTTTTGAAAATTACACATACAGTGTTTTTTTTTTGTTTTTTTCTATAAAATTGAAATAATCTTTTAAAATTTGTATTGTTTTGGATGCATTCTTTTATTTTTTCTTTTGTGTAAATAGTTTATTTTTTTAGTTTGTCATAGCAATAGCAAAATTGCTCAGAAAGCATGCTTGTCTCTTTCAAGCTGATATTAGCATTTTATTTGTTCAAAAAGGCTATCAGAGCTGTGATTGCTTATTTTGAGTTTGTTTTCAGTGAGTTTGCTCCATTGGGATACAGTCATACCAGCATCCAGTTAGACTAAAAAAACAAAAATATCAAAGCGTTATCTTCTAAATCCAAGTGTATTTTCCTTAAACTTCAGTTTTGGTATTCCTTTCATTTTAGTTGAGTTTTATTTATCTGATCAATTTAATTGAAGAAAAACCTCTAATAATTGTTAGGAGTGAGAGAAATAAATTCAGAATTTATCTAAAATGGGCAAAGATTTTATAAATGTACTGATGAATATTTTTTTATTGTTGTTGTTGTTTAGAACCTCCAGGTAGTTATGATGAGGAGGAGGAGGAGGAGGAGGAACCTGGTAAGAAATTACACACTGCCTGAGTATCAACTGAATCCCTTCAGAAGTTCCATACCTTAGATTCTCTTGCAGTCATTTGTCTTGAACAATATGACTGTTTACCATTTCCCCATTGCAAATCTTTAGCAATCCAATACACAAACCTCAACACTGATGAAATCAACCCAGATCACTGCACATGCATTTCAGATGTGCACATATGTATTTGAATTTTGTCTTGTATAAATATTAGTCAAACCTTTCGTTAATATTTTATTTCACTTGAATAAAATATTGTAATTATCAACTCATCACTATTTATCGATGATATTTATACCAAAGAAGAATTGCTTTCATTTGAGAAAACTAATTTTTCTATTCTCTTTATATATACATCAGGAGAGCACTTCCTAATTGATGTAAAATTCCTTACTAGTATTTACAAAATTTTTGGTTGTCAGCTTGATTGCCCTATAAATCTATAAAATTCCTGCTTGCTATCTGACTAGACATTCATTCCTCTTTCTGCAAATCTGTAAGCTAAGAATAATTGTCTCTTCTCTTTTAATCTTCAGAATATCCAGAAGAGGAGGTTGTTATAGATGAAGAGGGTAAGGCCATGCACTACTAAAAATAGAATAAATTTGTTAGCACAAATTCTAATGTCAAATTCATATGCTAAAATGTATTAGTAGCTTTTACTGATTGACTAAGGATCATATACTAACTTTTTGTCCTTATTTTGTTTTATTGTACAGACTGATTAATGAAGGCATTTTCTTTCTTTCTTTTTCCTTTTTGTCTTATTTTTTACAAATATTTAATATTTCACAGGAAACCCCTTAAAATGAATACTTGTGCAAAATCAGTTTTCAAATCTTTTTATTTATTTTTGCAATGTTATATAAAATAAAATTCTGAAAATATTTGTGATCAGCTGGATAAAATACTGCAGCCGAATTAATGTTTGGTGTCTCCATTTTCTGAGGGTTGACTGAAATAACTTCGACTTTGGTCAGGTAACTTTCTAGCAGTATCTAAATGCACTAAGCTTCACTTGCCAAAACAGCTGACTACATTTTTCTTTCTATTAATTACTGACTGCCCTCCACCCCAAGCTCAAAGGTGTGTGGTTTCCATTTTTCCTTCCTACTCAATGTTTAATTTTGAAAACTATTCTTTTTCAATACTTGGTTTGGTTGCTTACTAACACACTCCAATTTTATTGTTCAGTGCACAGTTTAGCAGGCTATACTTTATGGGAAATTTTTTTTAATTACTTTAATCTTGAGATAAGATTCCATTTGAAGAATTAAAATAATTGGCTTTTAAAAAGAAAAAAAAAATAATCTAATAAAGATTATTTTTTTTTTCTTTTTAAAAAGCCAATTATTTCTATCTATTGGTATTATTTTTTTTATGTTAAACATGAATAGTAGACTTAACTGATTTCAATCAGAAAAAATAATGTTTTTTACCTGCTTGATCTGATTCCTTTAGTTTTGACCAAAAAATATAACTAAGAAACCAGGCAAGCTTTGTTTTCATAACTTTTCAATTTATTAAAATCTCATGAGAAATACTTCTTAAAAAAAAAAACAGTTCAACCTGTTAACTTGTGAATTCTAAGGCAAATAAAATTTAAACAAATTATTTACAAAATGACCTAAGTTGGCAAGTATGCTAATTTATCCCAATATTTGCTCATCAAAAATGCTTTTTCCTTAACTTGCTTGCTCTGATAGCCAAATTGAATTCTGCAACTACTATTTTGAAAGCTGTATTGAACATATTTTAAATTGTTTTTTGACTCAGGAATACAGTTGAACTTCCTACATATTCATTTTCATTCCCTGATTTACTCATTTGACATATTCGTATTTCAATTGTCAAATAACTTGTCCCGTTTTCCCATTTGGCATATGATAGCAATTTTTTTTGCGGAATATGTCAGGCATCATCCTCCACCATTTCCTGTTCATCATCACCATGATCATGTCACCTTTCCCTGACAAACATCACTTGATTCATTTTTAAAAATTTTTTTTGTGTGTGTGTGTTTTCTTTTTCTTTTCTTTTTTTTTTTTTTTTTTTTTTACTTGAATACTTGTGTTCACAAACACACACACACACACACATTCACTCTCCTCCCCACTCCCCCAGCTGCTGTCCAAAATTGGCTGGTCTTCTGCCACTGGTCTTTCTGATCCTGCTGCTTTTTACCAGTTTTGTTATATTTTTTTTTTTTATTTTTAAAAAAAAAAAAAATCTTGAATGAAATAAAGATGCCCTTGGCTCCATCAATCATTTCAGATCCACTCCCTGTTGTCACGGTACCACAACAGAAAGAGAATAGTAACACGGATACAAACAAAGGTTAGTTTGCAATGAATGGAGCGTTGTCTCTGCGGCATCCTCCTACACCAGGCTGGAGTTCTTGACAGTTTGCCTCCTTGCCTCATTCATCCATTCATTCATTCATTCATTCATTCATTTCATCCATCCATCCATCTCTCGTTCTCCTTCCATTTGTCATTCAATGTTTCTTCTGTGTTTAATAATAATTGTTCTGTTTGATACTTTAAAACTTTTGAAAATGTCTTAATTCGTCGCTTTTGAGGTTTCTTTTAATGTTTTTTGCTCATTAAAATAAAGCCAGCATGGATATATAACAGCAACAAAAGAACATTGGCTAAATCTGGTTCTTTCTTAATTTTTGCTGCATGGCCTCAATTGGTCTCTCACATAAGAGCAGAGTAACAATTTTTCTTTAAAATAAAAAAATAAAAGAAAGAATTAAAATGGTGCATGCAGTTTCTTGTTAGGTTCTCTTCAATTTTCCATAGAGATTGACCAAAGCAGAGATAATGTCGTCATAGCGATTTTTCTGTCTCTCTTTCTAACTTTTACTCTTTGCCAGCATTCCTTTAAGTTCTGCACACAAATATTTCTATTTATCATTATCAAGGTTATTTAAAATCAACTACAACAACAATTGGTGGTGGATACAAAATGACACTTAAATTTCATTCATGTTCTCACTGAAGATTTAGGCCAGCTTTAACCAGTGTCCAAATATCTCGTGTTTTTGATAAATTGCTTTGACTGTTATTTCACTTTCTCACTCTTCAAATTATTTTTTTTTTCCTTAATACCATAACAATTAATATTTTAACCTAAAAACACTTGTCATTGCTTATAATCCACCATTAGTTTCCTGATATGGCCTTGAAAGTAAATTCTCTTAATTTAATTTATACAAACATTAAAGATTAATTTCAGCCTCCTTCCAGGCATAAAACTTTTTTGTCTTTGTTTTGCTTGTGATAAAAATCTTTTAAAGTTCTCTAACTTTGAAGTTACAAACATTTAAATCTTCTGGCAGAGACTAATCTTGGTCCAATTTTTCATTTAGTCTTTAAATATTTCTCTGTAGATTTGCTGGACTACTATTTCTGCTTTGGTATTTCTACTAATGTCTTATTGGTCCTAATCTCTAGGCTGAGCTGTTTTCGGTGCTTGAACCCATTATTCTTTATCGCTCGGAGATCTTAAGAACATGCAGTTTTGCATGTTCTTTTGTCTGATGGATAGCTGATATTTATGAATGGCTTGGAGTATTAATTATAATAATACTACTAAACAGCTGTGTGTGTGTGATTGGTTGGTTTCCACTTGGCCATTTAGTTGCTCACACCAATGCTTCTAATTGTTTGTCTTTGTTTTTTTTTTTTTTTTTTTTTTTTTTTTTTTTTTTTTTTTTTAATGATTTTTTTATTTCTATTTTTTATGCTTTAATCTTTTAAGAAAAGGACTGGACTCTGTTATCTTTGTTTGGGGGGTGGGTGTTTTTTTTTTTAACATTTTTCCTAATTCTTTATCATCTCTCTTCTACAATGTCACTGGATCCAGGAATGCATTGGGTGTTAAAATTCCTACAGAAGTAAAATAACTACATTATGAAGATTTTGCCAATTGTAAATTCATTTCTAAGTTCCATTTGTTTATATTTTTTTCCCCAATTATCATTTATCTATCATTCTTTCACATATCCACAATATTGTACAAATATAATTTCAATGAACTAGTGACTAAACAGACTAAAAATTGCATCTATTCAGTTTCATTGATTTTGTGGCAGCAGTTTGTTCTCTTTATACATCTTGGGGATAGAAAGCCGCTTATTTTGATGGGCTTCCCAACAAAACATTTTAAGAAACCATAACACCCCCCCTTCATCATTTACTTGGTCCTCTTACTCTGATGAAGAAAGATGAGTTGATAATGAAACTAATAGCTCTCTTTGGTTGTATCTTTCATATTGCCATTAAAAGAAATTGGAATATTTGGTTTTGCCTTTCTAGAAATCTTACAGTTTCACTACTACACAAAAAATACCTTCATTTAACAAAGGTAGTTGCCTCTTTTTTCTTTTTTTTTTTTTTAAGGTGGAGTGTGTTAAAAACAAATATCCAAGAATTAGAATATTTGAGAATTAATTTGGTAATATTCTCATTTCTTATTAAAATAAACCCTTTGTGTATTTTTGTCAGTAACCATGGAGATTCAAGAAAATTCTATCTTTTTGTTTTTCTTAAAGAGTCAACTTAGTATAATGCTAGATTTATTGAAAAAAGAAAAATATCTTTGGTAAAATTATATCTTGTATACTTTATACAGGAGAAATTTTTCAAATTGAAAGAAGTGTTTAACTTTGATGTTAATTTAAAAAAAAAAAAGAAAATGACTTAAAATCAAACAAATTAATGTGCAGAACTCCTTAATTTAAGAAAATGGCTTGAATTGCTTTCAAAACAAAAATGTAAAGTTTGGTTGGTTAAAATGCCAAATTTAGATTCAGAATCTATCATAATCACAAATTCGAAATCTTTGATGATTCCAAAATTTAAAAACCCAACAAATTCTCTTACAAAATATTGATTATTGCTAAACTAGAATCTTGTGTTGTATCATTTATGTTTTCTGATTATTAATATGATGAGAAAAACTTAATTTTTATTGGAGCTTTAAAACACATTATGTGTATAAATGTTTATATATGCACATTATGTTCCAAATGATGTCATAGCTCCCACTGTCTATAAAATGCTTCTGTGGCATGCATCTCAAATAGAAAATGACAACTAAGACCAGATTCAAGCCGGAGGATGGGCAAAGGCTGAAAATTGGCACCTCATAACCAGCAACTTCTGTTAGATGGAGGTCGACAGTCCAGGAAGGTAGTCCATCTAGAGGAAGGAAAACTTTAATTTTAAACCTCCACTTTCTTGCGGTTGTATCCAAAACATGGAAAAAGCTATGGAAATAAATCCATACAGAAAACCCAAAGTGGAGCCCCAAATGCTGTTTGCTGTCAATATTGACAACTTTCTGGCAACTCTTGCAGTGAAGCTATCGGCAAATGTCATGTCCTGTGTTCTTTTAGAGATGGTGAGGGAGTCTGAGCAGTGCGTGGCTTCCATATACCATTGCTGGTCTAGGAGAAGGAAAACTGAATCCAGACTATCTACTGCCTTGTAAGTCTTGCTTCTTTAACTTTTGAGATGAGAGACAGAGTAACGTCAACATCCCCAATACAAAAGGAACAGGCAAGTCATTGCAATATTCTTCCTTGAATGTCACTATGAACCACAATTATAAGATGAAGAGGAATTGTGTTCACAGCAGCGGCACAAAATGCACTAACTGAATAAATGCAGGAATATGATGAGGAAATAATTAATAAAAAAATTTTTATCCTGACGAGGATTGCTTTCTTTTTATTTATATTCATGAAAAGTTAATTAAAAAAATTGTCATGTAAACTTGGCTGAGGAACAAATGGAAGTAATCCTGGGATTCTGCAGTTATAATAGCCTTTTGAATTGGTAAAATTAATATCTTCCTCATAGGATTACACATACTTGAATGTGCCAATTTGTGGAACAAAACATTTTGTCAAAAATGCTCACGAGAAAAGAACTCTTATTCTCCAGAATCTGTTTAACAACTGGCACAATTATGAGTTTTATGAATCACAAACATTTGTAATTAGGTATTTTATTTTTTCTTCTATATGTACAATTGTAATTATTCCTTTTGGTGAAAGGCTCTTAGAAAAAAAATCTGGTTATGTTTATCCCTTTTTATCGTAAAATTTCCTTATTGATATTAACATAATTTCTTTTCATTCACTGAATTCATTTGGTCTATACTGTAGGTTGGAGGGGGGGGAGGTGGTCTCTTTGAGAAATTCTGTTTCATAATCTCATAAAAAATAAAACCCAAAACAACTGCATTCCTTGTCCAGTGTTGACTTTTGATCATGGAGTCCGTCCTTCTTCTATTTGTACTAATCTTCACTCGGATGCTTTTTTTTGTCTCTGGTCTGCTAATCATTGGTGCCTTTCTTTCTTGTCAACTTTTTTGTTGCTTTTTTCTTCATTGCACTAGCTTCACATCTACAAATATGAACACTTTTTCAGTAGTAGCAAATTTACACAGGTTGGGAATGTATCTCTGGAGCTTTTGGAAGCAGATAATACTTTGAACTCAATGTTAACAGCCGCTTCTCGCAGCCTTGGAAGATTTCCTTTTCATCTGCATTCTACTTCAAGTTATCTCAGATTATTATACTGTTTTAGTGTAGTTTTAATTAAATACTATTATTGCATTCAGTATTGCCAAGAAATTAAATCCATATTTGGGTGATTATTGATTGGAGGTTATAATTCTGTTGGAATACCAACACCTTTAAAACAATTAGTGCTGACAGTAGAAGAAATTATTACAGTGTTGAAAGATTAAGCAATTATCATTATGAAAACATTGTCTTTTACTCTCGGCCATAACTGTGATTTTGCTGTAGTATTTTAAAAATTACAGGCAAGTTTTACAAATTTGTTACTACAGAAATAGTTCCTCTTTTCATAGTGTCTGTCTCTTGCAGATGCATTTTCTTTAAGCCTCCTCTAAATCTATCACTGGAACTAATACTTCTAAATCACAAAATCTCTCCGGTAAAACTACCTCCCTACCCTATTCTTTTTGAGTCTCTCTCTCTCTCTCTCTCTCTCTCTCTTCTCTCATTGATTATTAATCTTGATCTTGCATAGAAATGTTTTCTCTGCTTAATTATTTTTTCCACCTTTTCAAATCTTCATTTTGGTCTTGCTCTTCCATTTCAAATCCCTTTCCACCAGCACCACCACCACCAATTTGTTTGTGGCCAAATTGAATTATGGGAATTAAATGTTGGTCAGGTTCTCTTCTTGATTGGCCGACTAACCATTTCTAACTAGCATCACTCTATATAGAGTTTTAGCCCCCCCCCCCTTTTGTGTGTGCCTACCCAATCATTTTTCTCTTGTAATTGTCACTTAACAATTCAGGGAATCAAACCCTCTTCATTTGTTGAACCCCATGTTGTTCATACTTCATTTCTTGCTACAGACTTTCATCAAAGTCTCAGCAGCAGCAGGCCTTCATCTTTAATGCTGGGGGGTACATTTCCAATAAAGTCTGCCATCTACTGACATATTCTGTGCTTCAACATCTAAAAGCAGGTTGTCTATTGTTTAACAACCTCATAGTAGTGTTGTTAACCAACTTGCAGCCTGGTGGCTATGATGAATCGTAAACCTCTCAACTCAATATGCTTTTTCTGCACTTTATTTGTAGCCTATGCACATGGACAACCTCTGTCTGTTTTTCTTTCTTTCTTTTCAGTCTTGGGTGGGGGGGTCTTTTTCTAGCTGAGGAAGGTAAGCAGTCATATTTTATTCTTGTTTATCTAATTTTTTTTGTTTTTCTTTTATATATATATATATATATATATATATATACTTTTTTCTGTAATTAAACTTGGATTCAGGCAAGCGTCAAGAGATATTATGTTGTCTGTTGACCCCATATTTAGGCGTTTCTTGAGATCTTGTGAAATTTAGAATATGGTTGTCTTGGAAATTGGAAAATTTAAGCAGTAGAATAATAAGAATTCAGTTTTTCTTTCAGAAAGAAAGCTAAGCATTCCATCTTAACATTTCACTTTTAAAACATCTTAACATTTCACTTTTAAAAGAGTATGAAATCTTCAATGTTTAAATAATCTTGATTCTTGCCTGAGACATCTTTGTTCTTCGCTGCTATTGAGTTTTCTCTATCCTATTGTCTGACTTTTATTTCAGCCAAATTTTACTAAAGAAATACACCATTTTGAAGGAAAATTTTTACAAATACTTTTTCCTTGTTTTTGTTACATGTCTATCATAATTGTAATAGTAATTTTTGTTAAAATATAAGCAATGATTTATTTTTAATCAAATATATCAAGTGTTTTGTATGTTATGGTATTCTAAAGAGGTTACAGTAAAAAAAAAAAAAAACGTTTTACAGATGGAATCATTTTTTTGAAAATATCTAAAAATTTGTCTTCCTCTGACCTTAAAAATGAAAAATAGGTTTACTTTTTCCACTATAATTAATAATTTTTGCTGAGGTGAAATAATTATCTGGTCCTATGAAGATGATCATCAGAAGATCCATAGTGAAAAGTTGTTGGTTTTTTTTTTTTTTTTTTTTGGTTTTTTTTGTTCTTTCTTTTCAGCAATTAATGGAAAAGGTGCACAAGTCAAGGAATAACCAGAAATTCATCTCCGTGTTTGATATCTAGGGGAACAAAAAAAAGAATTGCACAATAATTTTGATAGTTCCAAGAAATGGCAGCAAAATTAAGTTTATTTTTTTTTGTTTTTGTTTTGTTTTTTCTTAATGCTGTTATTAAATGCATGGCTAATAAACATTTTTCTTTTTTTTTTTTTTTTTTTCTTTTTTTTTCTTTCCTTATATTTTAAAATTTTTCCCTATGAATGTATTTTTGGTTTGCTTTCTTATTTCTAATTTCATTTAAAATAGTTTTTATCTTTTTCTTTTTTTTTAATCACTTGATTGACTTATTTATTTATTTTTTTAAATCTTGTAAAAAAAATACATTTTGGTATTAATAACTTAGCTTGGATCCAACCATAAAATAATATTTATAATCAACTATTATGTTTTTCTTGGCTTCTCATCTTGTATACATTACAAAAATAGCTGTATGATGAATGTACCAGGCATGAAATGGTAAAAGTTTCAGACTTTGTTTCTCCTGAGCAATTATCTGTCTCAACCTAAGATCTACTAAAGATACGTTCAAAAAGGTTCTTTTTATTATTATTATTATTATTATTATTATTATGAGACTTTTTCTTACCCCCCCCCCCCCCTTACCTTTTTGATGAATCAAGCTAAGCACAAACCATACTGCCCGGCTTGTTTATCTGCTTCTACTTGTTTTTCTGCAGGTGACCAATCTCTTGTTAACAATAGCACTATAATTGACCAGTCTTTAGAATCCACCACTGCTACAATCAATGTTAAAACCACCACAAAGGAAAGGACTGTAAATAAAACGGGTGAAGCAGATTTTCTTGATATGCATGCCTGTCTTCAAAGCAGGTAGCCACGTACCTCTCTATATTAAGTGGCATTCATGGCTCACCACTTTACCACTTCTGATACCTCTGACTTTCTACCGGAATTGACTGAAGACCTTGCCCAATTTCTTTTTTTCAATTAATGCAACTTTACCACAAGTATTAATAAAAAGCCTTGTCAACTCTCTTTCTCTCTAATACCAAAAATATTAGCTAAATATTCTTGAAGTCTTTCATACAACTCCATTCTCTTCTCAAATTAATGAGATTTTTCTTTTTTTTACTTTTCTAAGAATGTTCTAATGATGAAAATCAGGATGCTGTTTTTATTTTCTCTTCTTTTTTGACAATAACTCAAATCACCCCCCCCTTACCTCTATATAATACCCATCTCTTCATTTTACTGATTAACTTTGCAAACACCTGATTGAATTCTGCAATAATGGATTTTTAAATGTTTTATTATTATTATTATTATTATTACTACTTGGTAGTAAGAGAAAAAATAATCTGCAACAATTTACCTCATTTCTGTAATTGATCTATGGCTTCTCAATTTGCAATATATATGGCCATTTTGATAGTATTTTATTTTATATTTATCCGGATCATAATATCCGTGGCCATTTTGTCAAAATAACAAAATACATTATTGCTATTCACAGTGTCAAGGATAAAACAATCCTTACCTAGATTATTTAATCAAACTAATTAGTGACGTATACATTTAATCCTTACTAGTTTTAACATCATTTTGTATCGACCTTGAGAGGAGGAGAAGGAGATAATGTTTTGTAGCATACTTCTGATCTGCATTGACACCTGAATGGAACAGGATATAATGTAAGATACCTTAGGAAGAAGTTACATGCTGAAAATACCTCTACAAAACTCAATTTCTTCTTGTGAAAATATAATTTCTGTATATAATGTTATATGCTAGCGGGGGGGGGGGTCTTTGCGCCTCATATTATTGACATTGTCAAATCAGATAACTATTTCTCAATTAGCCATTGGTCTTTAATCCAGATGCATCTCCTTTGCATTCACTCCAATCTTATACAATTGTACATGACTATCCTGTGCTATTTTTTATTAAAATTCCATCTTTGGAATTGACTGACTGATTGAAAGCTGTGCTTGAATTCTGTTATTGTTGTTGTTGTTGTTGTCTTATAAATGTCATGTCTCAGTTTTGTTACTGCTGTCTTTTGCTTGGCTTCAAAAGAAAACCAAATGCAATTCTTGTTTCTACCTGAGTGGCAACCTTTCTTTTCTTGGAAATCATTTATCTATCCCTCAATCCATTCACATCTTGAAAAACTTTTAATTTTCCCCAAATTATTTGGCTTTTTATGAATGATTCATCCCTTGCTTTGCTACACTTCAAGTTTTTTTTTTTTTCTTTTAATGTGTGCGGGTGTAGCCTCCTTCTACATTTTGGTTTGATTCTGAGTCTTTTTCTAAGATCAAACAACTATTCCAGTTCTGTTGACTTTTCTGTTTCTGTTCACAGTGAAATTCATGTCTCTATCAAATTTTATTCTTGGGAATATAAGTTGAGGTAAACTTTTATTTTGTTACTCACAATTGTTTTAAAAATGTGGAAGTGTAAAAAAAAAAAAGATAATAAAACTAAATGAAACCTGATTTTTTTTTTTTTTTTTGCATTTATACAGAATTAATTTTTTTCCTTTTTTTTTTTTTTTTCACAAAGTTACATTCTCAAAATGAAATCCACGATTATATAGAGTATTTTTTATTGTTTAAATGTTTTTTTAAAATCCTATTCTATTTCTTTTTCTTTCTTTCTCTCCAATTTGTTTTGCTGAGTAAATGTGCACAGGATGTGAACTATTGCTGATTATTAAATCGTGTACAACTTGAATGTTTTCTCAGTTCTAATAAAAAGTCTTTTTCTTCATATTTTTGTAATACGTTTGTATCCAATTCTTTGTGATAGTTGTAGAAACTTCCAATTTCATTCATTTCAATTGTTGCATGCCTTTCTTAGCATTTGTAGCTTTCATGACCGTAGATTACAATCACAATAATTTTAACCCCAAGTCGTACTCCATATTCAGTTTTATTTCTTTTGGATTGTGAGTTTTGAACCAACAAGACAATTGATTTTATACATTTTTTTTTTTTAATGATTTTTTTTATTTCATTTTCTATGAGCTTCTTTGTTTGATTTCAAAAACTGACCTTAACATTGAGCTTTGGTGTCTTCTTATAAAAATCCACTTGAAAATAAGAATCCCTCCCCTCCTTGCAAAGACGTTCATTGGTTTCTGCTTGTTTACCCAATGTGCCTCTTCTTTTTTTTTTTTTTTTTTTTTTTTTTTCTTACTCAATTCTTATGTTGCTAATAACACAGCATTTAAACACCTGCACTGCACCATCTGATGTGCTCGGTAATCGTTTACTGCAGTTTAGCGCTCTCACTTTTGCATACTGCACTAGTTTTGGTTAGTTGCCAGCACTTTTTCTTAGGTTAGTTCCCCTCAGCTAACAGGATTATTTTGTTTTCCAGATATTTCCAGCATCTCAGATTATCTATTTTCATTAATCTTGTTTTGAAAATTTGCTTTTCTTTTTTTTGTCCTCTGTATTTAGTCAGCAAAATGACAGTTTGCTTACTTCACTCACTGGTACAAAAAAGTCTTTCAGTGTGGATGTCTCTAGACATGGGACCAAATATCCACAAAAACATATTTATTATATTAATATAGAAGAAATTAACAATATTTTTTAAATGGTGGATAACATTATTTGTCATTCTTTATATTATTCTCTCAGTGTATCATTGCATTATTAAAATAGTTTTATTTTTGTAGGTTTCTTTGACAGCTCTTAAGTTGGTACAACATGGAAAGGTGTTTTTGCACTGTGCATTCGTCTTTTAGGCAGTCACTTGAATTTACTTTGTGATATGAAAGAAAAATGGTTTGGGCTGTAAACTCTAAGAGACATTTCTGTCTTTCTACACTCCGTGACAAATCTTTCACAGGCTTCATATTTCTGACCATCAATTGAAATCTTCTAGTTCAGCCAAGAGAAGGCAAAATAAAAAAAAGTTCATTTTGTTAAATTCTAAAGATTTATTTTTTTGACTGCTTCACTTGATTGAAATTGGTTGCTTTCAGTTTGGTTCAATTCAATTGGAAGCATTTTTTTTAATGAAAAAGGTTTGCCTCAAATTGAATTATTTGTTTTCCTTTTCACTGTTCCCTACTGTGCTGTCGATATTTCGTCTCTGCTTATTTTACTCTACAAATTCAACACTACTTTTTTGTTTACTCTTCAAACAATGAATTTAAATTCACCTGCCTATTTTGTTGTAAATGTTAATACCACTTTACGCTTATCACTTATCCTCCTGTCTTTCAGCAAAGTCTGTCATTCTCACCCTTGCCTTAATCTTTTTCCAGCTGACTGACCAATTCCCAGTTTTTATTGGAATTTTTGGCAGCTTTTGTCAAAATCAAAGTTGATAGTTTT